ACTCGAGGGACCGACTGACAAGGGCTAGGACAGGCCTACTGTGTCGTCTTACGGCGCACCCGTTTTCATTGTGCCAAAGAAGCCGGGTACTTTGAGGATGTGCATTGACCATAGGGGCCTCAATGCCATCACTGTCCATAATGTTGAACCACTACCCCATATCAACGAGCTCTTGGATAGGGTCCAGGTATGTAAGTACTTCAGCAATATAGATACGAAGTCCAGGTACCAGTAGATACAGATAAGACTTGGGATCAGTAAAAGACTGCATCTCAAACCAGATACGGTTTGTATGAGTTTGTGGTGATGCCATTTGAGCTTTGTTATGCGTGTGGTACGTTCCAGCATGCCATGAATAGGATGTTCGATGACTAATCAGATATATTTATAGTCGCCCAGCTCGACCATATAGTTATCTTTAGTAGGACTTTGAGTAGTACGGAGAGCACTTACATGTCTCATCTGGAAGCACAAGTCAAGGTTAGCATGGAGAGGAATGATTTTGGTTGCACTAGGATCTTGTACTTGGGTCATGAGATATGTGAGGAGAGTCTGAGGCCGAAGGATGCGAAGGTGGGCGCCATTAGGGACTAGCCACAACCTCAGTCTGTGACTGAGGATAGATCATTCTTGGGGATGAATACCCCCTTGACTGATCTTACTCCCCTTGACTTCCCTTGGGATTGGACTAAGCAGTGTGATTGGGCTTTCAAGCAACTGAATACTGCTTCGATGCACCATCCAATCTTGAAGATTGCAGATCTCGATAAGCCGTCATAGCAGTTGTTAAAAGAGCTTCGCCTTCCAATCCTGAAGATTGCAAAACCTGATAAGTCATCATCATTTCGGTAGCCCCAGCGGTATATAGCTAGGCCAGCGCTCAGTGCTGGGGAGGTGGTGTTCAGGGCACACCTCCACATCATGGTGCACGAGCAGCTGTTAAAGGAGAAGCAATACATAGTATCAGCGATAGTGGAGCAGGAGGCGAGTACGGGAGTAGAGGGAGGAAGTCGGCAGCAGCACCGCATGGTTTGAGCACTTACCTGAGTGCCACAACTTAGGTCTTTCGCACCGGTTGGGATCCGGCCTTCTACCCACAGCACACAGCAGCTCAAGAGTTCATCTTTCCCTGGCCAGTATCTGGTCATGAAAGAGAGAGCGGATTCTTCTTCTTCCTCTTCTTCTTCTTCTTCTTCTTCTTCTCCTTTTCCTTCTTTCGCGTTCCTCTCCCCACCTTCCATATCCATCTCTTCTATTTGTGAAAGAGACAGAGAACTATAAATAGACTTGGTTACTATTTCGGGAGTACATCTCCTAGACTCGGACTCCACATTTGAACTGATGATTATTGTGGTTCCTTGGCAAGAGACTATTGTCATTCAGCTCATACACTGAGTTGCAGTCTCTTCTTCTTCTTCTTCCTCCTCCCACATTTGTCTCGTTACCCGCCTCTGTCATTTGAGGTACTTCTCCCCATGTGCGCATGGCAATGAGGGATCTTTCTTCCATGTATGCCCCCTCATTGCATCTTCGATGCGTGATGTTGTGTGTGCTGAGTCCTGCACCATGCCTATCTTTCCATAGGCACCCGGCGAAAACGGTATCCCTCACAGTGCGCAGACTAATGGATGGGTAGATAAGGTTAGGGATACTTGTTGCTGCCTCAAGCACACATTGCCTCACCAGCTGTTTATGATGTAACCATTTGAGGACCAGTCAACGCAGAGGAAGCACCAACAATAGAACGCCCATACCACCTCAACCAACGCCAAACACCATGATACTCTCACCGCTTTTTGCCCCGTATTCCGGGATACTTCCGCCTATCAACCCTACAATTAGCTTGGCAAAAGAGTCAAGTCACTGTCAGAAGATGACCACCGCTGCTGGACGAGCTTAGACACCAGCTGGGATGGTGAGTATCAGAGGAAACCACTCGTACTGAAATGCAAGAAACCGTAATGTGAGAACACACAGACTTCTAGCAGCAAGAACTCACGGAAGCCCATGCATGAGCAGACCAAACTAAAAGTAGAATTGACAAGGCCAAGAGCACACCAATGCGAAAAACACACCGGACTGAAATCTCTTGATAATGAAAGCCCTCTTCTAGCCTTCACCAATCACTACAACAGCATAGTAGCCCTTCGCTACGATGTGAAAGTCTACACTGCTCTCCAAGTCTATCCTATTTACTCTAGCCTACTAGCTCCCACTCTCACTCTCTCTATCCTCTCCTCTCTCCTCTCACACGAAGCCGCTGAAGAGTCTGATCACACAGGTACGCTTCTGTCGTACACCAGGTAAGTATCTGCTTGTCCCGATAGCCTTTCCACTCTTCCCAATCTGTCACCTCAGCACCCTTCTCCTGTACTGCATTGCCTCCCTTCCATCTATGGTGAGTGCACATGCCTGCTCTGCACCGTTAACGCTGCTATGCCAGGGCACTGGCTACTTGCTCTCCGCTGGCGCCATTGCCAAACAGTGCCTGCTTCCCAATCTGCTCTCTGCCTCGGCCTGTGTCCTTCTGTCCTGTCTGTAGGCCGAAGTCTGGACTTCGAGCACACAGGGCTTACCAGTTTGGGTCCCCTCCCTGATACCTGCCAAGTCAGTACCCCTCCACAGGGGCTATTGGGTAGTTACCCGGTCCAGGCGTGCTTGTGGCGCCGCTCGTGCATGGAAGCACTGTTAGCTTAAGGACACAGTTCCCTCACGGCAGGAAAACACAAAATGGAGGAAAAGGGTGGTAGTGCACTGCAACGTGCTGTGCTGGCGAGCACTCGTTCAAAGCCTTGTTGAGTCCATTTAGCTGGGGATGGTAGCTATCATGACCATAGCAGCGATGCGTACTGTCCACATAATCAACCATTCAACAGAAGTACAGTGGAGACGGACGTGGACATGTCCACCTGGAAATGTGGACGTGGACAACAAAATGCAAATCTCTGGTCATGGCAGGGAGCGGGGGTTTAAGGGAGGCCGGGATGGATAAAGGGAGGGAAAGGGGGCCGAGGGGATGGCCAGGGACATTTCCTCAGAGCTGGAGGGATGGGTTTGGGGGGGGATAGTTTTTTTCTCGTTTGACCTTGATGTCCAGCAGACATGCAATCTGCGGACTGGATGCGGACACAGACACGTACCTGACGCATCCGTCTATAGGAGAGGGATAGGGGAAGGAGAACCCTTTCTTTTTCTTCTTTTTCATCTGGCCACCACGTCCGGCAAACACGCAACGCGTGGCCCATATGCAGACATGCAATCTACAGGTCGGATGCGATGCAGAAGTGAAACTGGACACATCTGCTGCTGCTCTCATTCAAGAAAGGAAAAAACATTGCTGCAAACTGCACTTCCAGACAAGCATCTGCTATCTGGTAAATCCGGATGTCTACGTCTAAATACCGCCATCCATATGGACCTGTTGTGATGAATTCAAATATATATTGTCACGTATCTATCAACTAAAAGAGCTCGCTTTGCAGAACAAATGAAGAGAAGAGAAGAGAGGAAAGACTGAGGCACACTGAACCATTCTTTTTGCCTTCCTAAACAGTTCTTTGTTTATTTGTTCGTTTGCTTTTTGAATCGGTCCGGATGGTCCGGATGATCATGTCCGGGCCATGGCTACTGCGGACCCGGACACCGGACCATCTGGACAGATCCAGACCATTCTTTTTCTCTCTTTCTTCAAGTTTCTTCTTGCTTAAAAAGTTGGAGCGTTTCTCGACTTGTGTATGTCGTCCTTGCACAGGGGCCGTGCCAATCTTCTGCTGCGAGGATCTGGGTCCTCGGCAGGCCTAAGGGGCCCCGGTTACAGTTGTGCCCGCCCTAAGTGAAGGCGGGCCTAACATTTGACAAGAGGCCTTTGACTGTCAATTTCATATTTGGGGTACAGGCAGTTGTGACGCACCAGTTGGTTGCGAGAAACACAGGCCGAGCAACCAAGACATTTCCACGGCCTTCTGTGCCTTTCCAACGCGTGCAGGCCCTGGACGAGAAACGCAGCCCCATACACTGACAGTTGGGAGGCCCAACCAACAGAGGCCCAGTAGCTGCGAAGTAGCATGCAGCATCCTGGGGCCTACCGAAAGCTTCTGGGCCCAGGCCAAGCCCTGCCAGGCTGCGAAGCAGGCAGGCTCTTTCCATATAGGAGAGAGCTCGCCACTCTCCGCTCGCTCAGACTCTCGCATGCTATCGGCAGCGCTGCTGGAGCAATTGCTCGTGGGCTGCTGCTGGCGCTGAGAGGCGAGGTGCAGCACGTGCGGTCGTGCAGGGAAGCAGGGCGCTGCTGAGGGCAGCGCCATAGCCCAGCCACCATAGCTGGTGGGCTTGGACTACAGTGAGGCACATGAGTGGTCTTCGGGTGTAAGGGAGGAAGACGTGGGTGTAAAGTCAGGGAAGGGCGAAGGATGATGATGATGATGATGATGATGATGATGATGATGATGTGAGGGCACGTACCTTGTATTGGCGATGGTCTGCGTTTGGGCGACATCTTCGGGTTGCCGCTGATGTCTACAGTTGCATTGTCTATTGGTAGGCTGATCGTAGCTGTGTAGGAGTAGGCTGGGCGCTGAGCGTCAAGTAGGAGTGTGAAGGGACTGGACTCTTGTGTTGTGGCGGAGAGAGAAAGCTCTCCTTGACATTGGTTTTCAGTTCTACGAACCTCCATTGGTGTATTATTGGTGCAATGCTGCTCTCTGGACACAGTGTGACTATCTGGTTTTCAATGTGATGGTGTAATCTGGAATTTGTCATCTCGCTGTTGCTTATTTTCCTTGCACTGAGTACCGGTCAAATTTTAACGGACATCAGAAAGGACAATCCTTTCTTTAAATGTTTTCTTTCTTTCTTTGGGCTATTTTCTCTGTTCACTGCACCTCTCAGGCTCTCACACACATAATGTTTTTTCGACATTCCAACTTATAAAGAAATAATTAGAAATAATTAGAAATAATTAGAAATAATTAGAAATAAATTATGGAGACTAAAAGAATGTCGAGTGTCATAGCAATACACAGTTACGCAAAAAAACTTCTGGCCTGTGATCATCATTTTGAAACCCATAGCCAACTCATGGCAACGAAAAACCAGAAATTTCTTGAAAATAAATTGGGCAGCCCCATGGTTGGAATGAATCGGGTCGTCTGAATGGTACCCATACCTGAGCCCAGGTCTGGATCCCAAAGTTTCCAGTTCCGCATCTGGAATAACCATAACAGACGGATTTTTTTGTTATTATTATTTTTTTTAATGCTTAGAACTGAAAATTTATGAACCCAATTCACCAACTAGTAGATGAGCATGATAGAAAGACAGGGAGCCTAAAATTTTCTGCGTCAGAATTCACCTACATAATAGCTACAGGCTACCAGATGAATCACCAACTCATGGCTAATACAATATACCTACTGGTCCTACTGAAAACAGGGTTTAGACAAATATGACTTCCAATTTTCCACAGGGTTTATTGTGAACAAACGCAGCTACTTGCTCGTCTGTTCTCAAGGCTGCAGCTCCATACAGAGCAGCCCGCTGTGTTGCCCATACAGGGTAAATGCTATATACTCTCAGAACGTTGGAGCGAGCCAATATTGGTGGTCTCTCGTTCTTCCAGACTGGCACGTGACCCTTTGCGGTGAAGACTCGAAGCACTGCCACCTTTAACGCCTGTTCGGTCAGTGCCCCCGACCGCAGGAAAACACTCTCAAACTCGAAGCGTCCTCTTTCACGCACATACAGATGGTAAACGGTCACCTCTTCGCCAGACTCAGTTCTCTCACGACACCTACATGGTCGTCCGTCGGAAGCGCCGCCCTGTCCACTCACCCATTGCGATGCCGCATCCTTCTCTTCTTGCTCCCGAAATCTAGTTGCCAGAAAGATACACAGTCTGCAGGACGAATGCACGGCTGCCATGTCCACGAGCGCTAGGAATTTGTCACTGGGACCTTCGCGTTTCCAGCGCAGCATTCGTTCATACTCTTCCTCGTTCACCATCAACTGTGTGATCCTCTGCGCCACAGCATCCATGTCGCTTTCTGACGCGATGCGGAGATGAGAGCCCGGTGCAGGTTCGAAGTCGTCAATATTCGGTGCACCTATGACGACAGGCACGGAGCCGGCAACCAAACACTGGAAGTACTTTTCGGTCACATAATCCTCCTCCATGGAATTCTCGAAAGCAAGACAAAACTTGTAGTGCGGCAAGGTCTTTTGTTTGTCTGCCCCCGCAGGCTTATTTCTTTTGCATCCACCATACGAATCCACACCGACACCCAATGACTGGAAGTGCTCAATTGCTGCCAGCCTGAATGTCCTCGCCGCACAATTTGATATGAAGGCAACCGCTGCCGATGGACTGTCCTTCACCTGAGGTGGTGTCATTATATCGTACTCCGCCCAGGAGAAATAGCCTACTGGAACATCAGAATTCAGGTTGGTGGTCATTACCACCGAAAACCCCGCGGAATGCGCAGCATCTACATTGTACATTGGGTAATTTGTTTCACTCTCCATTGTCCTTACAATACGCAGATCAGAAGCACCACGTCCATCGATCAGGTTGCCATCCACAGCTTCCGTCGTTGGGGAGAAAACACACCCGACAGAACATTGTTCCCAGACTTTCTGTTGTAAAGATCCAACTCTGATGGGATTCACAGAGAAATCCCGACCGTACTTGAACCTGTCTTTTTCCGTCAGCCACGCCTCGCACATTGTGCCTGCAGGGACCTCTGGGACACGAGCAGACCAGTTTCCTGTGTCTTTCATGGCATTGGGGGCCCCCTCGGCGACACCTCGATCTTGCGGTCCCACCCCTCTGAGGAGCTTCCCATCCCCCATGTAGAGTGGATCATCTTCAACTCCTTGTCTTCGCAAGCCACGATCAGAAGCGGAGGTCTCCTCCTTGTCACTACGCCCATGCTGTAACGTTTTGTCTTTTCTAGAGTTGGATTCGAAAGGATGTGTAGTTTGACGAGGGGTGTCAGACTTGCCGATGTCGACCAAGTCAGGGCGGAAGGCAAGGAGCGAACAGACATACAAAATGACAAAAATGAATATGGCTGTCCAACGATGTTGAAGCAAATACCCCGGACGGCCCGCCGAGTGGGAGGCTGCCCGCGAGCTTAAAAGTGGCCGAGGCATGGCGACATGTACGCGACAACGAGTGCGAACTGGTTCCTACTGGAGCTGGTGGAGCTGGTGGTCTGCCCTCCTTCCCTCCCCTCCCCTCCCTCCCGCCTGTTGTCTCCTCTTGCGAGGGGAAGTCATGCAGTGTTCACTGCTCAGCAAGGCGATCAGCCGTACAATCTTCCATTGCGAATGCGTGTTGGAACTAAAGCAATCCACAGCTTTTCACTATGTCCAAGAGCGAAATGCAGATGACCTCGACTGAACGAAGTGGACGGAAAGCAAACACCTTGTAGGGGAGAAACTCAAACACAACGTGAAACAGGCAGTATGCCAATAACAAAGACAAACAAACCAGCAAAGTGTGGAGTTCACCGAGTCATTACGAACTCTCAGTCAGCCACCCTTGTCATGCTTGGCCTTCAGCAATGGCCCATCTATCAATCCCAAAAAAGAAAGGTGACTGCAGATAAGGAAAGCGAAGGGGAAGCGGTAAGTAATTTAAGTACTTAGCAAGCGAACATACAGGCAAGCAGCCAAAGGAGCGACCTTCCTCATGAAGAATATGCTCCTGACTGAGGCCAAATGCACAAGTGTACAAACAGCATGACCAATGCGGATGATATCGACAGGGATACTGGTCGCCTTTCATAAACCAGGTTCACATAGATTGACAGGAACTGGTGGTAACGAACCGCAAAATTGCAGGCTGAGATTTCTGCTTTCTGTGAGTTTTGCAGCTGTTCCGCGTGTCTGCTGAGTTTTCTGATGCCTGAGTTTGTTTCTGGGATCCCGGGCGCTGTTATCTGTGTTCGTGGATGTTGTCTTCTGAGTTCTGAGCGTGTGTGTTCGTCCTCCGAATACAACGTACGGTCATTATAGCTGTATCTGGGGTAATTTTCAGTCTAAATACAGCTATAATGACCGTACGGTGTATTCAGTGGAAGAAGGTAGGTGTGTTGGCCTGCATTATTGGTTCGGCCCCTCGGGCCTGGTTCCCTTGGTGCCGTCATTGTGGCCTGTCCAGCAGGTACTGGGCTGGGTAGCTGGGCTGAAGGCGGCCAAGAGTAGGTAGTACCCGGCAGGAAGGCCGATGAAGACGAATTAGAACTTCTGGTAGGCCAAGGAATTTCCTGAGTCCAGGCCTAAGGAAAGAATCACGAAGGTACCGGCCCCATATTGGTCCGGTACCCCTAACCCCGAAAGTTGGAGACGTTAGGGCGCCACATATTTGCTTTTCAAGCGGGGAAAGGTACTGGTGGTTTAAATACAGTGGCGAGGTCTTTCTTGGGCCGGTAGGCACACTGCCCCCCACTGGAAGTTCCCTGGTTTCTGCCGAAACCTATGGGGGCCCAAGCAGTGTTTCGTGGGGTCTCTACCTGGGCCGACTGGGCCTTGTCCTCACCGACCCAGGACCCAGGGCCTACAACCAGCCGCATACTTCCTGCAGGTAGGCCTTATGGGCCGCGCAGGACAGTGATATGAGCACGGTGAGCATTTCACAGAACCCGTCAAAAGTAACGGACACTGATGTTCCAGGAAACACCACCGTCCTCACCGAATAGAATAGAATAGAATGCATGGTCATTATAGCTGTATATTGGGCAACTTTGAGTCTAGATGCAGCAATAGTGACCATACATTGTATCCAGGTGAAGACGGTACTGGTGATGAGGTGGGATATTTTTATTTTTCCATGTGTTTTTGGAGGAATAATTTCGTTCTTCAGTTACCTGAGCTGAGCTTGCACAATTTTATTTTATTTTTATTTTTTTTTGGCCTTCCCCCAAATACAACGTACGATCATTATATAGCTGTATTTGAGGCATCTTTCAGTCTAGATACAGCTATAATGACCGTACGTTGTATTCGGGGGGGAAGAAGGTAGCGGCTTAACGGTTGAACTGGTGTGACACCGTGGCCGTTGGTACTTTCATTGCCTTTTCGAACTCGGGCCCGCGTGTCATTGCCTTTTCGGCCGTTGGTACTTTCATTGCCTTTTCGGCCATTGGTACTTTCATTGCCTTTTCGAACTCCGGGCCTGTTCTCTTTGCCGGCGCGTGTTTTTTCTTCTTCTCATTTTATACTCAAACATGACATCAACGTACTTGGCCCTTTTGTGTTTTCACCGCGTTGTTTTGCAATGTGCGCTCTTTTCGTTCATACATATATGACTGTAGATTGGGCCTCGCTCCACTACTCACCACATGCATAAAAGACAGCAAAATATGGCCGTGTATCTTCCCATATTGTAGCGGAAGATTCGTTCTCATTTTGCACATTTGGTGAGTAGTGCAGCCAGGCCTAATCTCCCCTATCTCTGAACGACGACAGCACACTTTGCGGAACAAATGAAGAAAAGGAGAGACAGCATAAGGCACACTCCACCGTTCTCTTTACCATTTTCTGTGCTTTTCTTTCTTTTTTCCTTTTTTCTTTTCTTTTCTTTTTTTTCTTTTTTTTTGGGGGGGGGGGCGCGGGCTTTTACACACTTCCCCTTTTAGTTTTTCTTTCAGCTCTCCCCTTCGTGTGCCTCTCAGGCACTGACGTTTTCCAACATCCCCACTGATCAAAAAAAGAAAAAAGAGGAAGGCGGAGACACAAAATGTGGGGTAGTGTAATGATCCACCAAAAACACAGACTGAGAACACTGCTGATTTCTAGGATTTGCTGCTGGAATGAATGCCTTGCTGAAATTCCCGCATTCTGCTGTGATTTCCATGTCTGTGTGTGTGTGCGTGCCTGCTGGTTTGCATGCCTGTCTGAGTGCTTGTCGGTTGAGTGTGTGTGTGACCCGCAAGGGTACTTGTTGGTTGAAAGGCCCCGCAGG